AAGCCGCACAGGGAAACAGAAAACACGGAATTTCTCCTAGCTCTACTGATTCCAAGTCCAATCCTTCTTTCACCAAACCATTATTTTCTAGGCTTCTATTCCAAACCAGAATGTTTACCTGGAAAATAAGAAAACAGAATGGGGGAGCGGATAACAGCTTACCTTCCCTCAACTGTTTTCTACTGTAAGGGAAATAACAGTGAGCACTGGAGCCATAAACAATAAGAGAGCTGGGGGCGGCGAAGGCTCACGCCTTTAATCTCATTAATCCCGGGACTCGGGAGGAGGAGACAGGAGGATCTCTGGGTTCGAGGCCAGCCTGATCTATAGACCAAGTTCCAGGACAGCTAGGGCTGTTACACAGAGGAACCTGTCTCAACCCCACCCCACCCCACCCCCCCAAAAAAAAAAAAAAAAAAAAAAAAAAAAAAAAGAAAAGAAAAAAGAGATCTCCTAGACAGTTAAAAGCAAATGTCAACTGAAGTCCTCTCTCTTTTGCCCTCCCCTCCCCTGCTCCACCTGGAAGGCTTGATCTATGTACACCATACTTTCCGTCTTCCCAAGGAATGTCTTTATCCCTAAAAACCTAGGTTCCCTGAAGAAGCTATACACTTTAGAGACAGGAGACATATCCATTAGCAACCAATGCCTATATCTGCAAGCACTGTTTAAAATAAATAAATAAAAATTCTCAAAGAGGAAGAAAAATCTTGGTCTCTTAGGAGTCATTTAGGTGCAATTTTCTGTTGCTTTTTGTTCAGAAATACAGAAAAGAGGGTATCCTCACATTTCTTAGGCCCCTTGTCCATGGCAACAAAAGCCAACCCCTTTCTTCTGAGAACTTAAAGACTTTTAATCACTACAGCAATCCACTTCCAAGCTTTTTTTTTAAGTCTCAAAAGATTTTTTCCAATCAGATCTTACAATAACCTCAGCATTTAAATAAACAAAAGCAGAACTATTGTGTCTGAAATGGAGAAGGGTAAGTCCACTTCCTCAGCTTCTTCCCACTTCCCAAATTTACCCAGTAACCCGTGAGAGTTTACTTCAAAGCCCTGACTCTCCAGCTTAGTGTCCTGAAGTCAGAGGGTGACTGTAACTCAGAATCACACTGTGAATCAATGCCAAAGGCAAACCCACACTGACTGCAAGGCCACTTAGTCTCCAGCTCCTCACACTTCTCCTTTAGGAAGACCAGGAGAAGATGAATAAAACCATTTTTTTTTTAAAAAAATACTGAAGAAAAGTACAGTTCCCTCAGTTAATGTTCTGTATAGTCAAAAAAGTTAAGATGCTCAGACTAGTGAGGATGATTTCACCAGCGAGCACCAGACAGCAAAGCAATCCCCGGCGCTCCCAACTCTCACTAGTGCTGTTGCTGTTTGTAGAGACAGGCGTAACTGTGGTATATAAGAAAGATCCTTCGTAGATAAATGAGACCCAGGAGGCTTCTGAAGGAGTCCCTGCTTCATGCATCGGCAGAAACCATCCCTTAAAGACATATGGGAATTCTCCCCGTATTTACCAAGCCTGGAAAATGGAACAGAATTAGAGCTTGCTTAGAAAGGTTCACTTCTTTCTAAATGTTGTAGCTAGCCTGGGTCATCAAAAGTAATCTTCACCCACCTTGAGAGGGGCTGGCCTGTGACTACAGCAATACAACAAAGCCAGATAACAGGTACGACCAGGCTTTAGTCTTGGTCTCTTCTTTTTTGGGCCATTCTTTAGGAAACCAGCTTCATTTACTATCATCTCATTTACTCTCATGGAGAAGCTTTTGCTACTCCGTATACAAAACCAATTTCATCTTTCCTTTAACTTCTTTTGAAGTCTGCTGCTTCTAATTCAAGTTGGTGGATCAAAAATATATTTACCCATGTTCCCTCCAAAGTCATGCTAAAATGACAGCTTAAAATATACAGAAGGTATAAAGCCCAATGATGAAGATATCAGGCGGTAAGGTCTTCTATGAGGGTATAGTATTTGTGTTTTAATAAATAAAGCTTGCCTGCAGATCAGTGCAAAGAAGCCAGGCTTAGCCATAGAGGCCGGGAGGTGATGGTGCACACCTTTAATCCCAGCACTAGAGAGGAATATAAGACAGGAGGAGACAAGTATCAGCTCAGTCTCAATCTGAGGATTGCTGGCGGCAGGTCGCCCATTTCCAGTCTGAGGTAGAGGTGGGAACTAGTGGCTGGCCGCTTTGCTTTTCTAATCCCAATATCTGTCTCTGGGTTTTTATTTTGCATGCTACAGACTTCAGCAACCATTCAGAACACAGATAATAAGTGGAGGGGTTTTGACTCAAGAATAATTGAAAGTATAGTCTAGACTACTATCAGGTCTCTGGCTGCAGTCTCTTCCTGCAGAGACAACGAGAATCGCTCCATTAAAACACATGAAGAAAAAGGCTTGGAAGGTAGAAACCATTTGTTCAAGCTCACATGGTTAACAAGAGTTTAAGCCCAGGTATTATTTTTATTACCTTGCTACACAATATCACTTAGTCCTCTTAGGAAACCTCAGACTGAATCAACAACCCGTGCCAAACACAAGCAGACAGAGTCATGTCTCAAAGCTTATCTTTCAGCAAGCACGGTGCTTAATACCTGACTCTTTGGTGAGAACTGGCTGCTGGGATAAGAGCCCCATGTCCCAATTGTCTAATGCTTCTACAGCACTGAAAATGTAGGTTATTGGCACCTGGCTTTAAAAATTGAAAAATAAAAAAGCTTGGGGGCAAAACAGAAGTACGAACTGTTTCAAGTCAAAGCTGAGCTCACCTGCCTTGCCTTTGGTGGTGAGAAGCAGCTTTTCATCTTTTTAGGACGGAACACGCCTAAAGGTTGGTGGTGTTACATCTGCTAATCAGCGCACAATCATTTTAAGATGCCAAATTATGGACTGCCTACAGTTCCAGTGAGGACATTATAAAGATTCCAAGGTGTGTGTGCTGCACCAATATGCCTCCCATTCCAGCCTGCTCCCATCTGAACGCCTCTCCACCACTACATTAAAGAAAGCTACATACACACTCGGTTTCTGCATTCGCGGTAGCAATGGGAAGAATGCTAGACTGGGAGTCACAAGACGAGTTCCTATCACAGTTCATGCACGGTGTCAGCAAATCCAGCTATCAGTCACGATGCTGTAAACCCCTTTCTCTCTCTGGGCTTCCACGACATCCTATGTAAAAGGGACGGACATAATACTCATGTCACAGACCACTGTGAAGACCACATGGAAATATTTACTGGGCGCTTACAAGCAATAAGGCTCTCAGCATGTGGTTTCTCCTCATTACTGATCACCTGGCATACAGCTACCTCCAACCTCAGAAGGACTGATGGTTGTAAGAAAATGTCTAGGGGCAGACAGGATATGAGAACCATCACCAGAGAATGGAGTATAAAATACACAGTACAATGAATGCTGTCGCCTAAATGGAAACGTCCCTTCTGTTCGTGGAGAAACTAACCCAGGGAGCTCAAAGGAGAAGCGCTTATCTACGGTCAGGAACTTCGGCTTTCTCTTCCTCTTTGAGGACTAGGCTTGACTTGACGGGCTTTGGTGCAACCAGGTTTGAGGAAGGTGCTTCCACCACTTCCTGAGGCCTTACAAAACTCAACCTCAAAAGGGAACACAGGTCTACACAGAAATAGTTAAAAAGTAAATAAATAAAATAGGGCAACAAAAAAAACAAAGTAGACAACAAACTTGAAATAAGCAATGGGCTAAAGAGGCAAAGGAGCTGCAGAACATCTCAGTTACCATGGTAACGCAAGCAAGAGCATTATCTAATTATCTAAGTTCTCAAGGCCAAGGAGAACATCCATCTCACCGTTTATATAAGACCAACGAAAGCCGGAGAGGGTGCTGAGCACGGAAAGTCGAACCTGAAACAACAGGGCACTTCACAGTTCAGGTAGGCTCTTTTGCACCCTGAATTTTTAGAAGATTACTCAATGGAGAAGTAGTCTTTTTCCTAATGAAACTTTTTCTGTGAATAGTGGCGATGGTGGTGGTAGTGCTGGCTATAAGGTACTTGCCAAACTACCCAAGGATCAACCCCGAAGCTACCCCGTCTCCTTTGAGACTGATCTTACTAAACTGTCCAGACTGGCTCGAAAGTCCCGAGGTTTATCAGATTCTTTGCCTCAGCCGCCGGAGTAGGTGGGACTATAAGTATGCTTTACCTTGTCCAGCTAATTATTTCTGTGTGTGTGTGTGCACACGTGAGTGGATGTGTGTGTGTGCACGCGTGCCAGGGCAAGCATGGGCCACAGCCTGCATGGAAAGTCAGAGAACAACTTTTGGGTGTTAATTCTCCCTTCCACTTTGTTGAGACAAGGTTTCTCTTCTTTCTTTTACTAAGGTGTATACACCACGCTAGCTGGCCCGTGAGTTCCCAGCTGACCCTCCTGTTTTTACCACCCATCTTGAAACAGAAGTGCTGGAATTACAGATGGTACCTATCTTCTTACATGAGATCCAGGATCCAGAAATGAACTCAGGTCATCAGGCTTAGTTAGATACGATTCTACCCACTGGGTCGTCTTCCTGACCCCAGCTAAGATCTTTATGTTAGCTATCATTGTAGACTTTCTGGAATAACGCTTTCCTTTCTAGTACCATAGTTTATACAGATAGATAGATGATGATGATGGACAGACAGACAAGAAAATGCATCATCAAATGAGACTTAGGCAAGTCTGTGGGCTCTTTTCTTGATTATTGGTTGGTGTAGAAGGCTCACTATGAGCAGTGCCATCCTTGAACAAGTGGTCAATGGTGGTGAATGCCACACTCAGAAGAATCAGGAAGAGGCAGAGGCAGGTGGATCTCTGAGTTTTAGGACAGCCAGGGTTATACAGAGAAAACCTATCTTGAGAAAGAGAAGAAGGAAAGAGAGAGGGAGGAGGGGAGGCAGGCAGTTTCGAGAGGGCGCAGCATAACCTCATCTTACAATTGAGGAAACCAGCAGAGGAAGTAATACCGACTCAGAGGCAAATGAGTAAGAGGCAGAAGTGTGATGCGCATGCAGGTAGATCTGTGCCTCCGGGTCTGTCCTCTTTCTGTTGTCTGTCACATGTCCTCATGTACCGCGCCTGGAAGGAGTCCAACAGAAACAGACTCATCAAGGAGGCACGATTGCCAAAACGTGGCCTTAACCCAAACTCTAATAGAGCAGGTAAATCAAGAGTTTTCCTTCTCTGAGCCCCAGTGTTTCATTCATAAAATTAATGTCTGGTTAGCGAGTCCCCAAAGCCTGGTGATCTAAGTTTTAATCAGTCATGATATGTTTACAAGAAGCAGCTTATTAGTTTCCTTTCCACAGAGTTACATTCTGAAAGGAGAATAACAAGTCATTTTACATGAAGTCACCCACTTAATCTCATGCCTTTCCTTCCTTCAAACACTTTAGATAAGCAAAACTCTCATGCCTTCCAGTAACCCAATACTAGAATTTCTTTCTTTTCTTTCTTCCTTCCTTCCTTCCTTTCTTTCTTTGACGGGTTTTGAGACAGGATTTCTCTGTAGCTTTGGAGCCTGTCCTGAACTAGCTCTTGTAGACCAGGTTGGCCTCAAACTCACAGAGATCCGCCTGCCTCTGCCTCCCGAATGCTGGGATTAAAGGCGTGCGCCACCACTGCCCAGCTGGAATATCTAATACCAAATATGTAAGGGTAGAATTTGCCCTCAGTCAGGGAGCAGGAACCTTTGTTCTCTCTGCTGGATTTACACTTCTGTCCACTAGCTGACTTCTCTTCCTAGGTGAAGACCTTAGCTCTGCTTCATTTACATCAGAAAGTTTGTAACCCAAGTCAAGGCATTTACATATAACTTTGGATAAAAAGTAAGTAGTTAAGAAAAAAATTGTGGGACAGAAAGATGGCTCAGTGGTTAAGTGCACTGGCTGCTCTTACAGAGGACTCAGGTTCAACTCCCAGCACCCACAGGGTTGTTCATAACCATCTGTAACTCCGTTCTAGAGGATCTGATACCTTCTTCTGGCCTCTGTGGACACCAGACAGACATGTCTCCCTACATACATACACACATACATTCAAACAAAATACAAATACACAAAATAAAATAATAAAAAAAGTATTTAACCTCAGATGTAATTTTTTTCTGCCCAGAAATGTGAAAGGGGAAGTGGCAAGATACTTAAAATTTTGGGTAAATTCCTTCTGTTTTGGTTTCATTAAATATAAGTATGGAAGAAGCTAAATCAATTCTAAATACCTTTCCTGTTTGTAACCTAGAAAATATTCCATCTTACAAAATGTGAAACATGTAAGTGATAAAAATTTGGAGGAAAGGGCATAGTGGCACAAATTAAAAAGGAATGGGATATAATGCTAAAGTAGAACATAAGACATGTATGGCCACATCGTCCTAATACATATGAGCCATGTCCCTCTGACAACGGAATTAAACAATTCACATGACACCAAAGACTGCAGAGGCAGAACACATCCCCATATGGCTAAACCAGAGCTGGCGGAAGAATCTGATCAAGCGCCCGAGTCCTGAAATAATCACTGAAAATCAAGATATTATCTTAAAGAAAAGATGCTTGATCCCAGCTCCCAGAAGGCTAAGACAGGAGGGTGGTGAGTTTGAGGCCACTAGGCAATGCGGTGAGTGAGACCTTAACTCAAAATAAAAAAAGGAGGAAGAGGAGGAAGGAGGAAGAAGGAGGAGGAGGAAGGAGGAGGAGGAAAAGGAGGAGGAGGAGGAGGAGGAGGAGGAGGAGGAGGAGGAGGAGGAGGAGGAGGAGGAGGAGGAGGAGAAGAAGAAGAAGAAGAAGAAGAAGAAGAAGAAGAAGAAGAAGAAGAAGAAGAAGAAGAAGAAGAAGAAGAAGAAGAAGAAGAAGAAGAAGAAGCCATCAGGATGGCTCAGTGGGGAAAGGCGCTTGCTGACGACCCTAATGAGGCGAGTCTGGTCCCTAGAGGAAGTGTGTGTTGTTCATTAAGTTCTCCCAACACCCTAATGGCCATGTTCTGTTTATAGAAAGAGAGCTGAAGGCTGAATGAGAGAAAGAGCCCAGGATGAAAACCTAATCTCCCGCTGTTCCGTTGTCTCCTTCATCCTACAAGTCCTCAGACACACACTACCCACTATATTTCACAACCTTATAAAGTACACACTCAGATCCCTCGTGAACTGGCTTCTTGTCCACATTACAGTCCTGAAACCCCACAGCATCTATCCTGCCTCCCTCCTAAGTGAGTTCTCAGACTTATCAGCCCTCATCTGTAGCGAGCATATATATATCAGCAGCACCACCTGGAATTTAGGCCCCACATTTAGGGTTTTTTACTTAGGTCTGGGATGTGGTTCAAAACTTTGTATATTGCCAGGCATGATGGCCCACACTTATTGTCTGGACACTCCAGAGGCAGGAGTGGGAGGAGTCAGAAACAGGATGACCTGGAGCTTGGGCTCAGAGAGTCATCCTTGGCTTGGCTACACAGCAAGACTTCAAGGCCAGCCTGAGCAATTTAAGAGACTAAGTCTCAAATTATGAAAAGCAAGCACATTAAAAAAAAAAATTACTAGACGGCCACATTTTGAAAACCACGCTTACCCTGAGGGAAAGGTGACAGATGCTGGTTATAAAACCAAACCAGGCCTATTAATCCCATTCTCCTTGTCAGGGTTTACTCCCTGGTAAGCGGTTAAGTTTAACCAATCAGAGACAGGCAAGTACAATTTGACTCTTTAGAAGATGAGGGTGCCCTTTAGGAGGCTGAAGAGGTGGCTCAGTAGTTAAGAGCGCTTGTTCTTACTGAGAGAGGCTCCTGGTTCAATTTCCAGCACCAGACCAAATTAGTGGCTAGATTGCAAGTATTCATAATCTTTCCTCCTCCCCTCCTGCTCCTTCTCTCTCTCTCTCTCTAGGGACAAAGGTAACAAGCATGATATAAACGTCAACATGATCTATAAAAAAATTTAAGATTTTGTATTCATAGACTCTCAGATTTGGTACCAGGAAAATGCACTAGTACCTGAATACTCTATAACCAATCTGTCAACTAGTTTTCTCAAACCTATTTCAATCTCCTTCTAGGTACTACATAGTTTGGGAAATAAAACTCAATTTCCTATACGCTCTACTTAGGATGATTTAGGTTTTTGCCAAGAGAGAGTATCTACTCTCAAACTCGATAGCAATTTGGAAGTAGATTAGAGAAAGGATAAGGCTCGACACAGCGCATCCTTTTGTGGGAAGAAACTGCAGCAGAGACAGCACAAGTCTAGATTCAGCTGTCATAGCAACAGCTTCCGGCAGAAACCGCCATCCTTGGGAGCTCAGTTCTTTAACACAATCTGCAGAGTTTGTTCTTATGAATTCAACTGGATGCTTTTCGTCAGATTTCTTCCTTCAGTGCTGACAAACTCAGGGTCTTGAGCACGCCAGACACAAAGTCTACCATCAAGTTGATTCCTTAGCCATACAAGGAGTCTTCAGCACCTTCTTTCATAACCTCCAATGAATCCATGCTGTTTAAGGTTGCTAAAACTGACTCTGCTTCTGCCTCTGTTAATTCATAAAGACTCTGGTAAACGGCCCCACGTGAAAAATAGCATACAACATACACTATCATATTCCCATAACTCCAGCCCATATCTTTGCACTGACTCGTTAGCGTTGTCCCTCATCAGCCAACCTACATAGAAAGAAGCTGATCCCAGGGAAGCAGCAGCAGGGAGACTTGGCAGTGAGGGAGCATCGAAGAAATGACCAGAAACGACCAGTGTCCTTGTACAGGAGAGACAGGAAGGGTGAGTTTGGGGACAAAGAGCGACCTTCATAAATGCAGTAAGGCACCCCATGCCATGAGAATTACACCTATAAAATTCACTTCCTAGAGTCTGGAATGATTCCACAGCCTATACTAGTTTTTGCTCAACAAAGTTGAATCCAAATGATTTTTATAACCTAATGTTAGTATTTACTAAATCTTCAAAACTGTACAAAAATACCATACTATGAGCTATGGTGAAGATTCTTACATCAAAGATCACAGTCCCTTTTGCTTTTTTGAGGGTTAGATTGTGGCGGTGTTGGTTTTTTTTGTTGTTGTTGTTGTTTTTGGTTTGTTTGTTTGCTTGCTTTTGAGATAGAGACTCAAGGAGCCCTAGCTGGAACCCACTGTGTAGTTCAAGATGACTTTGAGTTCCTGACCCCTCTCCTTCCTCCACCTCCAAAGCACTGGGATTACAGGTGTGCACCCCGACACATTCTTGAAGGCTCACAATGCAAAGGAAACAAAGATCCATGAACAATCAGACATAAGACAGTTCATTTTGTGTGCACGCATGTGTATGCAGGTACAGGCGACGGCACACACGTGGAAGTTGAAGGACAAGTCACGGGTGCTGGCTCTCATGTGGATCCTGGGGGTGAACTCAAGTGGTGGGGTGGGCAGCCAAGTAGCCATTGAGCCTCCCTGCCAGCCCAACCCTTTTCAAAAACTACAAATTTATATATTAAAAAAACTGTAAAGAAAAAAACAACCAAAGACAATGTATCTAAACCTAAACATTATTTAGAAAATACTCCTTCAAAAAAATTCACAGACCCGGGCATGGTGGCACAAACCTTTAATCCCAGAACTCGGTAGACGGAGGGAGGTAGGATCTCTGAGTTCAAGGCCAGCCTGGTCTACATAGTGAATTCCAGGCCAACAAAGGATAAACCTTGTCTCAAAAAATGGGGGGAGGGGAGAGAAAGAAAATATGTATTAAGTATCCATGATACACTAACAATTGCACTACAAATGATAGGGAAATATAGTTCCGTTGGGAGAGGGCCAGCCTCGCAGGCACGAGGCCCTGGGTTTGACCCCAGAATCACATAACCTGAGCACGGTGCTACTTACCTGCAATCTCAGGTAACTTACTTGAAATTAAAGTTAGGAAGATCCTTGGCTTCACAGTGAGTTTAAGGACAGCCCAGGCCATGATACTATTGTCCCATGTCAAAAAAATTATTTTTTAGGTGCTAAAAAAACTTCAGGGTAGCAAGAGAGAAGGTTCTGGATTTCACAAGGCTTGAATCCTAACTGAGGAACTAAGAGGCCAGGTTTCAAGC